TTTCTCCAATATTATTTCATTTTTGTTACCTACTTGCCAAGCAAAGTTGATGGAAGAATTATGAGCGAAATCCGTTTCTGGATGAAAATTGAATATGAGGATCTTAGGGAGAGTCGCTCTTAAATATTAGGCTGTTTAACATCTAACACTAAAAAATTCACTGTAACGCTAAATGGCCTAAAAAAGCGAAAGATACTAATCAAGACAAACGTGGACGTTCAAGAGACAAATTTTCAGCAAAGGTCAACAGGGTATTCCCAGATTTACATTTCCTCACCTTGGGGATTTTTGAAATAGTGATAAGGGAAGTTAAATTAAAGGGAAAAAATTAAAGGGATAAGGGTAGTTAATTAAAAAAATTTATTAGTCTTTTAGAAGTTCAGCGGAATACAAAAAACCAGAGTTACCATCACCTAAATACACTCTGAATTATTATTTTTCGTATTCTGAGTGCTGAAACATGTGATCTGCAATTATGATATTGGTAAATTAAAAATGTTTGTTTGAACTTACTGATTTTGAAGTAATTGACCTTCCCTTGGGTAGTTCTGTTGGTCTTAGCACTGATAAAATATGGTTTCTTGCAGACCACAAGTAAGTTTCAGCTCATTAAGAGCTGAGTTACCAGCAAGCTTCCTCAAGTCTAAGAGAGATAAAAGTAAATACATGTCAATCATTTTACTGTAACAATTATTGTACTAATAATCTTATCTTCGAATACAATATGAAATTAATATGGATGTGCCAACATCCCATTTTTTTTGTTAATACTACACCTCATAATCAAGGAACATTTTCATGTTTCACTGCTTTTTCATTTCGTTTATATTTTGCCCAGTTGTCTAAATTAAAGAACAGTTATTAATAAATGAATTAACTTATTCATTCATCCGTTTATTCGTTTGTTCATTCATTCATTTAATACCTAATAGTGCTTTTGCAAGGCTCGAGACTGTAACAGATGCATCTAAACTAAACCATGAGCATATCTTTCATGGTCTGCTATTTATTAGTTGGAATTACAAATATATTACAAATTACATCTTATCACAACAACAATACTTAGAACTTATTACTCAGTAGGACATTAAAAAACCATTCATTTCATTAAGATTTACCTGCTTGAAGCTCATCTAATTCATGCTGCTGACGTACATTTCTCACAATTTTATTGTCTCCCAAAATATTTTGAACTAGTTCTTTATCTTCCAGACATTCTTGTTATCTTTTCCTACTTTTCTTTCTCGCGGAATCTGATGCTCCAGGCTCTTTATCTATGATTGCAATTTCTGGATCTTTATCTTCTGAAGACCTTGTTGAAGTACCAAGAGGTTGTTTAGGAGTTTGCTTCACACTCGGTACAAGCACCATTTTCTTGTCTGATCAATTAATTATCTTCTGTATCACATGTACTTGTAAAAAAGATGAAAAAGATGAAAATTTACTTTAGTATTTCATGTTCATAATCTTCAGAGCAATTATCCTTTTCTAAGTAGTACAATTTGTCACCCCCAATTTTCTGATGCATATATTGTGGTTATATTTATTATTAGTTCAAAACTAATTTTTCAAACCAGTTTGATTTTTATATTGCATTGTCTCCACTCTTTATCGTAATCTGAAGAAAGGGGTAGGGACAAAATATGTGGTAGACTATGGCCAGTCAGTGATAACAGTGATTAATTTCCAAAAAAATAAATGATAATACATGTGACACAGGTAACAACCCCATATTACTCCAGAAAATCCTCCCTCAAAATGGATGAGGGAACCTATTCTTTGAGTTCGGAATTTGGCTAGTCTTGCAGGAAAAATATGTTGGAATGCTCAATCTACTGATTGAGGGGACTAAAATCTTAAAATACTTCATTGATGTGTTTCACTACCCTCCCTTGAGCAGTCAAAATTTTTAAGCCTATTAGGTTCCCTGAGGATGTAATATAATTAATTTAAATGTTGGGTACTAACTTGCGGTAGTGGCTTGATTTCTAGCTTGTAATTGATCCAACTTAAATTCCTGACTCAAATTCCTGATCCCTTTCTTGCAAGACCATACTGATTATTTTAATTTTTCTCCTCAGTTTACGTACAAAATCACTGGTAAGCCATGGCCTATACAATAGCCTCGGCCATGTCGCCAACTTCATGTTTTGTCTCCACTAGAAACAAGGGGTAATAAAAATCAAACTGGTTTTATTTGAACCACAACAAATATTCCAAAGATGAAATTATACTCTTCGCAATCTTGATTTTCCTTTGCTTGCCTAAGGTCTTTTAACATAAGTATAAGTCACCAAATATAACAGTTATTTTTATTAAGAACAACCTGGGTTTGAATAGCAAACAAAACCTTAGCTTTTCCAGCGAATATTGCAATTTGCAATTTTTTTCCTGCACTTTATGAATTTGAAAGATCAGTTGTAAATTTTAACACTAAACATTAAAAAAAGGCCAAATAACGCTCCCATCTAGACCCTCTTTAGTGTTAAAATTTGTAAAATTATAATGTATAGCGTTTTAAAAAAGTTAACTGTTTTATAAAAGTTTCATAGAGAAGGCAATAATGTTAGAAAAAAAGGACTAAGATTCTTCAAACTTAGCTCTTATGATAAAGGGTGCAAGACTAGAAACAAAAGGAGAAAAGCCTGCGCGGAACTGACCGAACTGATCAGCATGCATACTTTGTGCCAGGATTGAGATAAGACGTGTGTTTGAAGCTCTGGAATAAGTGAGCAGGTAAACGATGTAATTACTAAGTTTAAACCGGCCCTCTGTCACTGAAATCAGTATGTCTAACGACAAAGATAAACTGGTGACAAATACGAAAAATACGCGAAAAAGACAACGAGAAAATGGTTCCCAAACAGACGAAGACGCTCCAGCCGGCGGCCATTGCTGCCATGCCTCGAAAATGGCCGAGATCAACGTCAAACTCGACAAAATTTTACGGGTCGTGGCCAAATTTGATGCTTTTAAAACAGGTATGATGTAGCTAGAAGAAGAGAATAAGCAGTTGAAACAAGCGGCGGAGAACACTGCCAGGGAAATAACAGACCTAAAAGCCACTACGGTTTACGCTTGCAGTGGTTTAGAAAATAGTAATCAAAAACTTAACTCCCTCTCGGAAGATGTCATGAATCTAAAGCGACGTAACATTAAACTAGAAGCCTACACAAGGAGAGAAAATATTAAGATATTTGGTATTGAAGATAAAAGAGGGGAATCCAATACTAGAACAGAGGAACTTGTTCGTATCATGATGCCTGAGAAGATGAATATTCCAGAATTGAAGAAGACGTTGTAGGCTTTCAATTCGAGCGAGTGCATCGAATTCCAACACGGCAGGATATGGCTCGCTCTTCCAAGCCGAGACCGATTATTGCAAAATTTTAGTTTTTACAAGAACAAGGAATTTGTTAAGAACCTGAAAGGCAGTGGAATTGGAATTTCTAACGATTTTCCGAAGAGATTGACAAAATCCACCAGAGGGTCTATCCGGTTTTAAAGGAGGCAAAGAGGACAAGCCAAAAGGCTAGCTTTAAAGTGGATAAATTAATCATCAGTGAACAGATATTTAGAAGTGTGGAGACAAAAAATCTTCAACATTATGGTTTTTTTTATGAACAGCTAAAATGTTCGGCTGACAGAGGGCCGAAGCACCAAAGCACGCCGATGGACTTTGTAGGTACATATTTGTGTCTTTTAAATGTTACGTTGTTGACATCAATCTTATTTAATTTTTGCTACATGTAACAGTGGCACTTAGTAGTAATAGTTGTAATAGTAGAATCTAATAATAGTGGTATAAGCTTTGAACTGTTTTGTGAACAGTGTAAACTGTTGTTATACTGTAAATAATGTGAGTGGTCGTATTGTACTGTAAGTTACGTAAGTGACTGTATTTGTAATTTGTAAGGTTGTGAATAAAATTAAAAAAAAATACTTTGTGCTCATACGCATAAGTTCTTCAGACATTTTGTGGTCAGCGGTTTTTAGCAGACTTCTGTATAATAATAATAATAATAATAATAATAATAATAATTACAGTTCTTAAAACGCATTATACATGAGTCTCAATGCTTTTACATAAGATTTGAAGTACAAATATAAGATAAATATTAACTACAAGCGATTTTAACTACTATTAGCGATTTTAAAAAGGTAAGTCTTGAGCCTAGTTTTAAAGGAATCTAAGGTTTCGGAATATCTTATAAAATCTGGAAGCTTGCTCCAAAGCACAGGGGATGCACACGCAAAGGATCTGTCGCCATAGGTAGAGGTTCTAGATCTTGGGACAGACAGATTAATAGTCCTCGAGGAACGGAGAGGGCGGACAGGTGTATAGAGAGTTAACAGATTTGCCAAGTAATCAGGAGTCAGACCATGAAGTGCTTTATAGGTATAGAGAAGCAGCTTGAAAATAACACAATGTTCTGTAGGGATCCAGTGTAGACTAATGAAGACTGAAGTAAAATGTTCAAATTTTTTCGCTCGCGTAATAAGTTAGGCGGCAGAATTTTGTAGAAGAGGGCAAGCCGTAAAACAAGCCATTGCAGTAATCCGGTTTATAGGAAATATAGGCATGAACGACCCTTTCGTTGTCTTTCTGAGATAAAAATTTCCTGATTTTACTGAGCTCGTGTAAAGATAATGAGCCGGAGCGACATATATTGTTCTGCACTAACTTAAGCGAATAAAACCAAATGAAAACAAGACACAACAAATCATGGAGAACATTGGATTGTGGGCTGCGAGCAACGCCTTCAATCAGTTTATTGAACTACAATTGAGATATATGATTATAATAGTAACCGGATCTGTCAACTGCGAGTAAGCGAGCCAGGGGGGCCAGAAAAAACCTGCCTCAAAAAACCCTGTAGGGAAAACACAGGACAGGAAATCTGGGACGGGCCACGCATCACTTACGTCCCCCGCCAGGACTTCTTGGCAACAGCAAATAGATGGACATAATAAATACGATAAATAAATTAATTGCAGTAAATAGTAAACTAGAACTACAATAGTTATAAACTAGCAAAAAAGCACAAAATAATCGCAAACTAATGACAAGAATAAACTGTAAACTAGCGTAAAGTATACCCTCAGAGCAAAAGCGATTTTGAAACGCTTAAACGATCTTTAATTGTATGTTTAATGTATCTGTTCTTCGAGGAAGGACACCTCCACCCAGCATGCATATCCAATAAATCGCCCGGTATGCGCCTACAAGCGGCGTTCGACGCTGCACCAGACCTCATACTATGCGTGCCGTACTTTGAAACGTCGTCAACAAAGGGCCGGATGTACTTCTTGAATTCCTCTCTAAGAGTAGAATTAGACACGCCCTTGCTAGCGTGGAAATACTCGCCAGATTTGGACTTCACAATACGACGAACAAGCGGAAGCGATGAATTAGACTGCGACAAAACCTGAATAATTCGTTCAGTAATGGAAACTGGGCACGTAGATTTCCCAGACCTGGCAAGATAAGAGGTGTGACCCTCCCGATACTGGTCATTTTTTCGCTTGGAGACATAAATAGACATATGGTCAGCATTAATGGTCACATCCTTAAGGCAAAAACTGTT